TAATATTTCCTCTGTGTTGACAGGGTTTCAGACACATCCAAAAAAGATGTCAGAAATAAAATAATCCCGTGGAGAAAGTGCCTCTCCACCCCCAACCCTAACATGGATTAACACAAACCACCCACAGAGAGAAAACTAATGTGAACATGGCCCTTCTTGAGTGGACAGAAGTGAGCTCCCAAGATTGAAAAAAATGTATACAAGTATAAAGAGCGCCCTAAGTGAGTCTGAGGTGCTTAAATGATTAAATTTTATTTCATGTGCATTGGTGTTTTGCCTACATGTGTGTGTGTCTATGTGAGGGTGTCGGATTCTCTAGAACTGGAGTTACAGATAGTTGTGAGCTGCCGTGTGGGTGCTGGGAATTGAACCAGGGTTGAAAACCAGCAGCCAATGCTCAACCACTGAGGCATCTCTCCAGCCCCAAACCTGCAGATCAGTAAATGTTTCCCCACCAACGCTGTCCCAGGAGCTATCCAGGGTGCTGGATGGTTTCACAAGGAAGCTTCTTAAAACCCAGGTATCACTCTCTAAGTTGTCCTCCTTGGATTCAAGGCCCCCACTGCATTAAACCTTAACCAGACATCATCTTGAAACCATTTCCCCCTGCCCAGTGACCCCGTGAGCTTACACATGCCTTCATCATGTGTGTCTGATTCAATACTGAACTTCGCCACACAACCGTTAGAGTGTGGTGATTGCATAGTTTAAAGGTATATAGATAGGCTAGGCCTCCACTGTGCCCTGTTGCCTTCCTTCTGGAAGTACAAAGGAAGAGGAATGACGGGTTTATGGGATGCTTTCTCCTTGCAATAAAACACAAGGTAAAACCTGATAGCTGAAGCTATAACCTGATTGTGTAACTCAGTTCACAGTCTCAGTGTAAAGAAACAATTCTAAACCTGCAAGGATTAATAAATTAGCAAAATGTCCAACTTCATCTCTCTGACTTAAATGGGATCCTTTATTTTCCTCTTTAAAAACAGATACATTCAATTGAGGCCATTACTCTGTTCCTTAAGTAATCAAGTCTGTGCACTAAGTAGGGGGTGAAATGTGTATGCTTTCAAGTCCAACACTTTGCCTCTTCAACCAAGACACTTAGGGAGAGAGAATAATCTGACGGCTACTCCTTCCCAGCTCTCCTCTTAAGTAACCAGGCAAACAAGCACAGCCTCAGCATCTTCAGGACTTTCCACCCACGAGTCAGACCCTTCACTGTCTTCAAATGTGTTTGAGGGTCACTGTGATTTATAAACAGCCACAGTAGTTCAGGGAAACTTTTAGTTCCAAGTTATCAAGGCTCAAAGAAGCAAACAGGACTGGAAACCCACCACACTTGCTGGTCTATTCTTTTGTATGGCTGGGAACAGGTGAAGCATATGGAAACACTATCAAGATGGAAAAGAAATCACATACTGCTCCTTGACACAGTCCCGCCTCTGGTTAAATGCACAGGCTTCAGGAACACCATTGTTTACAAGGATGGCAAACTAACCTTGTTAATTGTTATTCGCAGAACTATAGTCTATAGTCCTTCTGGACCTCAATCATTCATTCGCCCTGATGACTAAACAAACACTCATCCCTGCCTCCCTCCACTTGGCCCTCCTGCTGCTTTTCTTCAGACTTAATTTGAATCAGTAAAAACTCTTGGGGCGTCTTACTCACCGTTATGTGGGACTGAGTGAAGTTTAGATTCCTACAAAAGTCAGCATCCACCCCTACCCCAGCATTTGTCACACTGTAATTTAATTGCTGGTTTGTTTATTCATTTCTGACTCTATTTTATAAGCTCAGTGCAAGGAGGGACCAGTTCTCTCCCGGTCTTCATATCTCCAGGTCTATGCACTGTGTTTTATGTAGAACAAGTATCTAATAAATACATGACCTTAATAAATACAGTGACTTTAAACACTATTAGGTCTCATGCTATGCTTGTTTCTAGGCTTCTTTCAGAACTCTGGACTCAAGGGTTATCCTGCTTCAGAAACCCTTAATATGACCACACCACAATGCATAAGAAGCCTCTGAAACCAGGTAACACAACTTTACAGAAATCCTATCTAATCTGTTACATAAAATGGAGATAAGAAATACATACTTTGACTATCAAAAAGCAAATGAAATTCTTGCCGGGCAGTTGTGGCATACACCTTTTATCCCAGCACTCAGGAGGCAGAGGTAGGTGGACCTCTGTGAATTTGAGGCCAGCCTGGTCTACAATCTTTGTAGATACAGAGAAGTCCTGTCTCAAAAAACCAAACAAGAAAAGTAAGTGAAATTCTTATATCTGAACTTTAGATATGCTATGCTAATGAAATGTTTATTTTGTAAGCTTATATTTTCCTCACTGTTTTGTAAGTTTATTCTTCTTTTTTTGCTGTTTTCTGTCCTGGTGCCTTAATGTTTAAAGTCAATACTAAGTTTGGTGGTGTTTTACTTAGCATGCTTCTAATGGTATACAAATATAATGGAAATTAATATTGCTATTGTTTCTTTCAATCTCAACAACTTCAAATTTACAGGCAGCAATAGTTTCTCCGATTGTACCCACTTGTTTCCGTCATCTTTGTCTATCCATATACACCCACTCTTTGACTGTACCATGAAAGGAAAGTGTCTCTAGTTTCCCAAATGAAATCTAAATTTTTGAGATTGTTAAATGTGTTTAACACATCTTTTAACTTCCCCTCAGAACATCTAGATGAATATAGACTAAATTTTTATAAAATAAGAATAGTCAAAACTTTAGGTTTAAAATCCACCTTCTTAAAACCTTTCATAAATAGTGATACTTGGATTGCATAAATGCAAATAAAAATTAAATAATGGACCACAATACTATTTCCCACAGGCCACATCTGGTCAATTACCTATATTTATATTATTTGGGTAGAAAGCCACCCCAGTTATTTGCATATCATCAGACACAACCATGCCCACTTACTTGAATATTGTCCCACAGATCTGCTACTGCTAGCTCCTACTTTTCTCCCTATAGTACTAGAGCTGAGTTACTACACAAAGCAGTATAGCCTGCAAAGGCTAAAGTGGCTGTTATATTGACCCTTTAAACAAAAATCTTTATGTCCACTGCCCTAAATAATGATTGCTGATGAAAAAAAGCTCAGTCTCACCAAAATGGCTTCTCCAACTGCAAAGCTGAGCATATCCACTAATCATATGTTTTACACGTGTGGATGTGTGTTTGTGGAGGTCTAAAGTTGATGTCAAGTGTCTTCATCAATCAATTTCCACTTTATTTATTTTCTGATGCAACATCTTCCAATGAAACCAGATTACGGCAATTCTAATTGGTCTGTCCATTCAGATTACCCCAGATATCGCCTATCTCTGCCTCCCTCAGGCAGGGACTGCAGAAAGGCTGTACGAACCTAGCTTTTTACATAGGTTCTGGGGATCTGAACTCCAACCCTCACTTGTGTGAAAAGTGCTTTACTCACTGAGCAATTTCCCTAGAGTTCAATACCTGTTTTTAAAGCCTAAGTTTTCTTCATTTTTTTTGCATGTGTAAGAATATTATTGGTGAAAACAATGACAACTTAGATTTTACTAAATAAAATAAAAAGTAAAACCACAAATTAAGATGTTTGTCAAAAGGCCTATAAGGACTATACTAACCTAAAGCCAGATTTAAATTTTCTTTCCCTGAACTAAAATGGTATCAACTAACAAATTAATAGTCTATATGTGATACATTCAAACACAGATATATATACAAGGAGTTGCTATAATTTTTGTAGGAACGCAGACAAAAGAGTCCAAGTCTCGAAGCAGAATTCTAAAAGACGTTGAAAGCAATAAGTGTCAAGGAAAATGCTTTTAAAATGGACCACATTGACCTCACAGGCTGCTCTATTAAGATATGAGCAGCTTTTTAAAATGTTCTTCCAGCTGTGGAGGAAAGATAAATAGTGTGTACCATCCCCCAGCCGTTACCCCGCATCAGAGCAGTAAAGAGCAATGGCACAAAGTTCCTGAAACTCTCTCCTTGGGTCAGTGTCTATTAATCTAGCAGGTTCTAATTTTCTATGAGTTCCTTAAGTCCGAATGTCTGTATAAGGAAGGAATTGCAGGAGTAGTCTTTGTATTTCTATATTGAGGCTCACTAAGCTCTAAGGGTAACAGAGTAAGAAGAAAGAAAAATACCCCACAACTAAAACAAAACATGAAAGCAGTAAGCCCAAAGCACCAACACAGTTCTGTCCCTATCAAGAGGGCTTTGGCACATATATCCTAAGTAGTCAAAATGACTGACATTTTCCACTGGTATTTTGTAATATACAACAGTACTAGCATATAGCTGGTGATATATCAGAAAAGCTGCACTTGGTAAACTACATACAAAAAGGGATTGAGGCAGACAGGAGAGTGAAACAGTACAGTTGGCTCTTAATGACTACATGGTACCGATGGTATGCCCCTCTTAGAAGCCATCAGACACTGAGTCCACTCATGTTAGCTAGAAGGTCATGTCATCCCTTGAGTCAAGAAAGATGCAAGACAGGAAAAGAACAATTTGAATCAGAATCGGTCTGGAGCAAAGATCAGAACGAACTATTTACCTGGACAAGGCCAAGGTAGAGAAATGATTATGTGCAGACAATACCACGCCACATGGTAGAAGCTTCACTGCCAACAGAGTAAGAATGTACACCTGCCATTCCTGAGTCAAACCGGAGACAGATCTCTGTACACTAGAGACCCAGCTACTAATTCTTCGGGTGGAGCTGCTCAGAGCTGTCTGCCTCTTGCCAGGAGGAAGCAGAAATTCTCAGCCATGACAGCTTCCCTGGCACATCCATCCCTCCTGGGAGTCTATCTCTTCTCCAGGTTTCTGCCAAGGATAACAGAGGGACTCACTAGCTATTCGTGTTTTGTACAAATAGCTTTGTACAGAGACATTGTTTTCCTTTCTTGTTCTCCTCTGCTTTTAGGGTTATAAATAGAGTAATTTGTAGACAACGCACTGTTACCTTGAATACTTCTCTTGAAGAAAGCCTTGCAGCCTTCACAGGACCAGACCCCATAATGGTAGCCAGAGGCATAGTCATTGCACACTGCACAGTAGCGAGTCTCCTTCACAGACTCCATGGCCATGCTTCCTTTCTCGCTGCTGCTGGACAGTCTCTCTCGGCCACTCTGGCGTCGATTATCAGAATTAGACCTGGAGGGGTGGGTAGGAGCAAACACAGTGAATTCATTAGCATTTGAGAAGCATGCCTTGTATTTTCCTCTAAAGAGGAAGAGACCTGGGGCTTATAGAAGACACACTTTATTCTGACATTTTGAAATAATGATTCATAATATAGGCTGAACTTTCATTGTCTCTTGCTGACTCCTGCAGCAAAGGGTGTTTGCCTGTTATATTCACCTTGAAGAAGAACTGCTTCTTTTACAAACTTGTTTAAGAAATGGATTGCATACCACAGAACAGATTATTATCCGGAAAGCAACAAAATGGAGTTAGCGGGTTTCTAGCAAACTTCATTTTCTCAGAGATTCACAATTAATTCAGAAGTAGGAGAGACCAATCTCATTCCCATTCTAGGCCAACAAAGGGTCTTTAGGAAACAGAGACAAAGCCCAAAGCAGCTGGAGGATTTGGAACTCGAATGAAATCATGACCTGTAGAGACTACACATAGAAAACGCCCAATTCAAATTCCTCTACTGCAGTTGTCTGTTACCAGCAAACCCTGGGTGACCATGTTTATGACTTGACACTACAATTTGAAGACGCAATGCTTCAATATTCAGACACATGGAATGTGAAGAGCTAAGGATCACAGATGGTTATCCCATCCTTTCAAGCCTTCGTGGAATGAGCAAATCCCACAAATGAAACTGAAAATGCACAGGAAGAAAGCTGAGCTCTGGAGGAACCAAGAAAATGGGGGAGAAAAAAGCTTTAAGAACACTTTACAAAATGAGTTTGTTTTCAATACTGTCAAATAGGACAGAGAAATCCAACAAGAGAACTGCTTATGTGAATTTAGGCTTGAGCAAAGGACTCTCAAGGGGAGGGTAAAGAGACCCTCTCCTACCAAAACCCCATGGTGGAAGAGTGGGTGGATTGATGAGGTAAGGATAAAGGAAGACTGGTGTGTGTGTGTGTGTGTGTGTGTGTGTGTATGTGTGTGTGTACTTATGTGAAGATTGGGATAGAGAAAACAAGAGTGCAGTTATCAAATCTAAGACTCCCAAAATGGTCTTCATAATTAAATAGATTGGCAAATGCCCCATGCAGGCTGAAGGGAGCAGTCCTTGGCAGAGAATGAATACACAAGAGTAGGTTTGCATTTCTCATCTAATCCTGAAAATGGCTGACATTATGTTGACCTAGACATTCAAGACATGTCCAGACAAATAAAGACAATGTAAGAGAATTGGATGTACATAGCCAAAAACCTAGCATAGTGCCTGGTATGGAGTGTGCACTCAATAATATAGGGATTTTATTCATTAGTTGAGATATATGTTACCTTCATGTGTCTATGTGTGCTCCATGTGTATACAGGTAACCTTGCAAGTCAGAGGCATTGGATTCTCTGGAGGTGGAGCTAAAAATAAATTTTAGCTTCCTGATACAGATGCTAAGAACCAAACAGTTTCTCTGGAAAAAAATAGCAAGTGCTCTTAGCCACTGGGCCATCTCTCCAGCTCCTCACATAACGTATTTTGATCATACTCACCCACTGCCTGCCATATACTCTTGGATGTGTGGCCATCTTCTTGAGTGTGGGCAATTGTCTTAATTACTTTTCTATTACTGTGAAGAGACAGCATGACCTTATAAAAGAAAACATTTATTGGGGCTCATGGTTCCAGAGGGTTAGAGTTCGTGATCACCATGATCACGAATGGCAGTAGGCATGCAGCGTAGCTGAGAGCTTACATCTGATTCACAAGTGTGAGGCAGAGAGAGGGAGAGAGAGAGAAAGAGACAGAGAGAGAGAGAGAGAGAGAGAGAGAGAGAGAGAGAGAGAGAGCACTAACTAGGATGGTGTGGGCTTTTGAAACCTCAGGTCCGTGGTGCACTCAGCAATAGGGATTTAATGTCAACTTCCGGATGATAACCAAGAGCAATGGCAGGAGCTGGAACTTCTTGAGGGTCTATGAGACCTCACAGCCAACATCTTCAATAGAAGAAACTGATTCCTGGCACTGGACTTTGTAATAACATGTTTAAATCAATGAAGGGAATGTTCAGAGGTGTTTATGAAAGAGAGGGTGTCAGGCATTGGAAGGAATAGGTGAGAAACTTCCTATGAGACTTTCAAAAGTCACCTAACATGGAGAAAGAGCTCCCATGACCTTTTGGTTAAGGAAAACTCCTGTTTCCTACTTCCTGTCCCCACCACGTCCCTAGCAGCAAAGCCACATGGACTCTTGTTGGTCCTCCCCTCATAACCCTAGCCTTCTTTTCATCTCAGATTTCATAAGCCTCCCCTGCCCTTCTTCCTCATTAATATTGTATACAATATTTTAATGGTTCATAAACTACAGAGGCCATAAAACTCACAAAATATTGGCTCCTTGGTTTGAGTACAGCTGAGTTGGGCAACTTTTTCCACTCTAAATAACTTAGCTCTGAGGTTGGAAGCCTCAAATAGGATTTCTTTACTTTTTAATGATCCTTAGAGAGCACTGGCTTGGAGCTTCCAACTCTCGTTCATATTCTGTTGCCCATCTTCTCCATTTCATCATCATGTCGCTGAACTCCCCTATCAATCTGCAGTCTTTTTACTGTTTGTTTACTAATGTCTTCTGCATGATTCAAGCCAGTAGGAAGCAGCTGTGAACTTTTAAGTAGATAAGCCCAGTGCCTTGGGGGATGGGAGTGGATAGTGAACAATTATGAACTGGACAAACATTGTCTTTTCAAAAATATATCCATCTTTATTGTTAACTGAGTGTGTTTGTGTATGCATACATATGCATGCACATGAGTAAAGGTATGCATGGAAGTACCTCTGGAGGCCAGGGACATCAGATCCCCCTGGAGCTGAAGCTACAGGCTTCTGTCAGCTGCCCAGTATAAGTAGTTGGAACCAGACTCCAGTCCTTTGCAAGAGCAGTATATGATTTTAACTGATAAACCATCTCTCCGGACCCAAATTTAGTGCCTCATACCTTGTTAATTGTTGCACCTCTAGTTCAGTGCCTGTCGCACAGTAGGCATTCAATACAAGTTTGTTGACTAAACAAACGAATGTAACTATACATGGGAAAGAGATCTAGTGGATCAAATATCCTCCCAACCATCTATATTTAGTAAAAAAGCAACAGGTGTTTGGGATATACAGGTTTGTTTACAAGTAGCTGGAAAAGAAACCTAGAGTCTAGGAACATACGGGAAATTGAGGGAATAGTTAGCATGTCACAAAGTCACCAAATAGAGAGAGAGGGAATAATTTATTCCATAATTAACTACAGTAACATACACAAAAAGATACAGAAAATTTAACTGCATCATACTGCTGTTAGTAACCCCAATTAAAAAAATAAAACTCATTGGTTCACCAAATTGGATGCTGGCATAACCATTGCTTTGGTCTGTGGGTGACTCTCTTCCTGGGGTGATAAGACTTGTTCACATGCTGCCTCCCCACAGAAGACCTGTCACTCAACAGTTCATCACCAGGAAGGAAACAAAGGAAGATGGCTGCAAGAAAGGCCCAGATTCAGGAAGTAGCATGAGGGGCAGGAGATGGAGAGACTGGAATTTGTACTTCGGAAAAGAAATCAACTGCCAAGGCCTGGTGGAGTTCCAGTTCAAACAGTAACTATGGAGTCAGTTGTGAACATTACAGATGCCATCTATCACTGCCTTGGGCATCCTGACGGCAATTACCAACAGAGTTGCCAGAAAATGGGAATGGGGAAAAGATGAAGTTTATGGAGACTACTCCCAAGGCCTAGTCCAGCAATGCCCACCTTACCACAGACATAGACTCCCAACCTCCTACAGGTAGACACAACAGGTCTGGGGCAGTGTTTCAAACCCTCCTGGGGAGTTGAAGTGATAGAGGCTTAACCCCACAGTAACCCAACATACACAAAGCTACAGACAATTCTGCAGGACCTTCTTAATGGCCAATCGAAGCCTAGAGGGGGGCACCAAGGAAGAAGGTAGAACTCTTCCTTGTAAAACTCAGGGTGAGACTCAAGAGCAACAGCACTCTCCTCAACAAGGTACCACTCATTCACCCATAAAACCAGAGGGTGGATTGACAAAAACAGGGAGTTCAACAGCTGAGAATCCATCCAACCTGAGGCTGCATGGCACGGGGAAGAGCATAGACCCACCCACCATCTCCACCAACATCCATTCACTATCATCCAGCAGCAAGGAATACAGACGAAATTCCAATCCAAGCAACAGGCAAGAGACAGAAGACCACAGCTGAGGACCTTAAGGGGCTGATTTTAGCCTGTTAACCAGGTAGCACAGCTGCCCACATCATCTCTGCAGCACAAAGCCTGCATTGTCTTCATCTAGAGACAAGTCTTTGGGGTGATAGCACCCACATTTGTGTTTTTAAAACCTAGTCTTTTTCGTGTTCTAAATTATTCCTATCTTGCTCAAGTTGAAATGTCTAAGAACTTCATTTTTAATATGTGATAAAAATTTACAATTTGGCTTCTTTCTTTTTTCAAAATAAAGTCAACAAAGCACAAGCCCTTGTTAGTAAAAGGTCTTAAATTTTTTAGGGAATAGAAAGCAAAACAGATAGGTGGGAGTGGGGGGCTTGGGAATGGGTTCTGCTTCCAAAACCCACACAATTAAAAAAAAAAAAAAACTGCCCTGCATTTTTTTGGCTGAAGTAAAATACACATAACAAAATTTACTGTATTAAGCATTTCAAGTGTTAAGTGATGTTAAGTATATTCATGTTGATGTACAATCAATCTTTAGAATTTTTCATCTTGTAAAACTAAACTGCATATATTAAACAGTCATTCCTGACTTAACCCTTCCCTCAGTTACTCTCAGCCATCCTTCTACCCTCTGATTCAGTGGATCTCATAGTTCTAGCAGCTGCAGCTAATGAGATCATATAGTATCTGAGTGTTTGGGGTCTGGCATATGTATATAAGATAATGTCTTTCAGTTTCCATCCATGTGGTTGTATGTGCGGGGGAAAAAAATCCCTTTCCGGCT